ATTTCTCGGTTTTTAGGATACGAACCCATTACGTCTTGGATCCTCCTCCTCGCGTCGTTTTCCTCATTACTAAGGGTCGTGACTCCCCCGTAGAAACTGTTTCTGCATGACGTCGCTTCGTCATCTGTGGCGGTCTTTGGCATAGTAGAGCGTATCATGGAGACTTATGTCCAGAGCCGTACCGACGTAGGTGGACAATCTTGTGGACCAGCGACCCCTCGGATGTTTACCGTAAATCCATCCGGTAGCCACTAACTGTTCCAAATTGTGCCCTTCTTTCCTGGCAATGTGACTAAAGAAATCAAGTATCTTACGGAGATATAAGGTAGTAGTCTGGACGTCTGAGATAAACGAAAATTTAAAATACAAAACTGATACAAAACAGCGTATCGCGAACTAATAGCAAACGCACAGACGGAATGACTCTTATCCCAACTATGTCACATTATCATCATTATATCGGCCGGAAGACGTCCACTGCTGAACATAGGCCATGTGACGTGCCTTTTTTTTATTATTATACCTGGCCCCAATTGAAACCACTGGTCAATGTTATTCAATTGTAACTGTACTGAGATTGTATTGCAATTAGGTACCCTCTTTCTACCAAAAAATGAATCATCAAAATCGATTCATGAACGCCGTAGTTGTCGCGTAACATACATACAACAAAAAACAAAAAAGAGAACCTCCTCCTTTTTTAAAGTTGGTTTAAAACTACATGCGTAGGTCGTACATTAAACAGCGTAAACTAAAAAGTCTATAAAATCATCATCTGTAAGCATCAATCAAGCAATTCCAAATCGGTGGACCAAGTCGAAGTAAATGAAAATACTTGGGGCCCTGTTAATTTGTTTTAATTTTCCATTCCACTTTTATGTTATTTTTTATAATATTGTGGTGTATGTTTTAATAAGCAAAGCCCATTTTTAATCCCCGACGCAAAAAGAGGATAATTACCTATATAAGTTTGAAGTTTGAACGAAGCCTTTATCTGTGTCTGTCTATAGCATCGTAGCTCCTAAACGAATGTAATGATCTTAAAGCCTTTTTTTTTATTCTGTTCTAATCCCAATGGTTCTTAACAATCGATACTACCCGTAGTAATACGGTTCATTTTGCTTGGGGCGACCGGCAGGGACACTGGCTTTATTTCAGATTTTTTTTTTCAAATAAAGCACTCTAGCATTGAGTTCCAGATACGACACAACTTTTTCCCTTATCTAACTAAGCCAGTAACTTCGTCCAGGTCTTCCCATACTTCTCTTTCCTACAATATTCGCCAATAAATTATGATGATACAGATTGTGATTTTACTTATATTTAATTAATCGTAAAAGTTAATTACTACACGCAATAAGTTAAGGATTGATCCTTGGAACATATGTATTAGTGGTCAATATTGATTGCAAATTTTATAGTGCAAGCGACACGCCTGTGTATAGCAGTTACAGTGCCACTCAGAGCGACAAATCGCAAAGGTCCGAAGGTCTCTGCCACTGCACCCGTCACCCCGAGAGATTAGTTGACAAGTCCCATGATCCCGTAATTTCACCAGCACCCTTGCCATTCAAAACCGAGCGCAGTAATTTTCATAATACTGCTTGGCGGCAGAAATAGGCACGGTGGTAGTACTTCCCTGGACGAATATTTTCACAAGGACCTCTGCAGCTACTGAGAGTGGCGGTTGTGTTAATTTTTTTTTAAAGTCGCAAACTATAAAGCTACATATTTATGCTGAAATAGGAGAGTTCTAAAAATTCATATGAAAATAATTTATTCTCGTGTTGTTCGTATTATTTTTACGACTTAAGCACTTTTGACGTATGTAAGAGCTTAAGCTTAATACGCGGCGATGATGTTTCGCGTAGAGGCTCAAAAAGCAGATTGTTGCGATTGTATCGATTCAAACGCGATACAGACGCGCGCGAGAAGTTCACGCGTGTTTGTGTCGATTCCCACGCGCGCAAACATTGCTTTGCTAGTAAGAAACTTATAGACTCCACCGGAGTTTTACACTTAGAATTTCATGTAGTTGTTTCATTTCAAAAACTAACTGATATTAACAAACAAAACTAAAGTTATAACTGTCTCTTATTAAAATACCCGATACAACGTGCGTCTGCGGTGCGTATACGCGCAGATGACACGCGTTTACGGCGTTATTGAATTTGTGAACGTGTGCGAACGTTTACTCGCTGCCACTGCAACGCGTTTGTATGCGCTTGTGAAATACGCCTTGTGCATAGGCTCTTACATATATGTGGCGTTATAATAACCAAGGGCATAATATTTTGAAATTTCCAGTTGCAATTGAGTAAACTGTTTAGAAACAGAATAGAGAGTAGAGTTTTCCCCACGGTTAACCGATTTTCAACGACCACATAAAAACCGTCTTGAATCTTGTAAATTACAATAAACCACAGTAATTTGCATTGCCACATAGAAACACATTTTTTTTTATAACTAAATGACGGGATTTTTATAAATAAGTCGTGTGAGATGGTAAGCGAAACGCCTGTCCATAACAGTTGCAGTACCACTCAGAGCTTAAAATCACAAAGTTCTGTGCGGCGTTGCTACTTCGCCCGTCACATTGAGATATAAGTTGACCCTTCAAAACCGGAACACAGTAATGCTGACATTACTGCTTGGCGGCAGAAATAGGTAAGGTGGCTGTACTACCCTGGACGAACTCTTTCACAAGGAGCTCTAAAGCTACTAAAAGACAACGAAGCCAATCTTATAAATAATACTCCTCACTAATGTGTGTCAGGATCGTGACAATAGGAAGGCTGTCTCTGCCTACCCCGTGGGAAAAGGGCGTAAAGTATACATACTAAAGACGACATTGAAACATCTTTTAAATAGCGTATTCCACTTGTATATTGAAGTTGTAGCCATCTGAAAGCCATAATCGTGTACAGCGCGCCAATGCCTGCAAAGTGGGGACGTACATGGCGCACCAGGGCATCTCCATACTGTCCTGGTGCACCTGGTCCTGGAATTTCCTTTACCCTCAAAGGAGGCAAGGGTCCTTTCTTTATTGTTATTATTAATTTCAATATTATTAGACTATAAATTAAATTTCAAAATATGAATGTTTTTTGTGTTTTTTTTTTATAATACCAAGCGACGGGACGAATAAGTTATGCGCCTGATGGTAAACGACAGGCCTATCCATAACAGTTGCAGTGCCACTAAGTAACTGTCTTTTACTTTTTGATATAGAGAATAACCAGATGAATTTATGTGACCTACCTCTGTGAAATAGGGGATGGCAACTTATGTGAAGAACCAATAAAACTATGAATATTAGTATAGTACAGTAGGCTACACAAATACTTATTCTTCGCAGACGATGTCGCGGGCACCTACTGGTAATGAATAAAGGACAACAATAAGAGGCTAATAATATCAATACTTAAAAATAATTAATGACTGCTTAGTTTGTGTATTTATGTACGTAAATGTTTTGTTTTGAACAATGTGTGATAGTACGAATGTTTATTTATAAGGTTGGCTACCAGTATTCATATTTAGGGTCTGATAATTTTTAAATAATAATAAATAATATATTCAGTACCACTGTAATACAAGTACCAAAGGTGACAAATAAATACAAATTGTTGGTTGTACATAAAGTGACTAAAAATTGTAACTTTTTTATTAAAAAAAAAATACGACCTCGGAAATTCGTGGAATTACGTCAATTCTTTAAAATCACCTGTACCAATACCGAAGTACCCTCTTTAATAATAAAATGAGCTCACAAATGACAAAGTTATCGCGTAACATACATACAAAAAAATACAGTCATACTGAGAACGCCCTTTTTTTAAAAGTCGATTAAAAAACAAATGGACAGGCCATCAATCAGTTCCCAAACCATCACAACCCTGTACTTTGGGAGATGATGACGAACTTCCGCCAGTGTCTTACTAATATTTTACAACCAGGTAATGGAGACGTGTGTACAATAGTGTAAATGTAATGTAAGTATAGGTATAATGTGCACCGTATCTACCATTTCATACCCGTTACGTGTCTTCTCAGGTGAGGGTTTAGACCACGGTTGGGGACCTCACATGTTGTTCGAGAGTTATGAACCTTGTTCGACGTGTAGGTATCATCTAGTTTCCTTCGCCGAAATGCTTATAGTAAATTTCAAATTAAATTTAGCACAAACATTCCGAGATGCGAATCTGGATTCAAACCTACGTCCTCTGCTTGGGAGGCGGTATGACAAAACCATGAAGCTATCACGGCTTATCATCATTCATTTTGAAATCACAGACAGTGTAACTTTGTACAGATATAATTAATTTTAACACTGCTTAACACTTGCAAGTCGTATTTAGCCATTTGTAATGGACTTTACAAAGGTAAATAGATTGTCAGTCCAAGATTACCGCGTCTAATAAGGTGAGAACTGTTAGTTGTGACGAACATGAAGCAAACAGATCAACATTAGGCAGATTTCGTGTATCCATAATAAGCGGAAGCCGCAAAGGTATCTGATGCACGTTTTTTTTTTCCCACAAAACGGCATATAATTACAAAAAAGTCTCGTGAATCTTCAAATATCACAGAGCAAGTTCATCGACCTTTTTAAAAGCACCCTTTCCCACTCCTTCCCGTTTCCAAACGATAGAATCTTCAACCACATTTTACCACCACTGCTGCAATCGAATTTCCACTCTACACCCACTATGTACACCATATTTTCACTATAATCACAGATTGCGCGAAACTATACTTCCTGAAGTTCTGAACCTTATTATTACACTATTTATAGTCGTTATTCTTTTGTATAAACATTTATTTAATAAGACCATGTCCAGTATGCTGTAATAAATTTTATGTTTAGGTGTTAAGGTTTGTTTTAAGACGGTGAGTGGTGGTTGGAGATTAATAGAAGCGGCGGAGAGCAGTGTCGCGAAACGCGACCACGTTGCGATATAAAAGGAAGTTTGGTTGAAATTTCTTTATCACACACCTGCTGTCTGCTCTCGCGTTCGGTTCCCGCGCTTTTCTGCACTTAACGATGTCTGCCAGATTACTGGTGAGTACTTACATATGACTATTAAACATTATTAATTTAATTACACCCTTATTTATATATTCTCACATATCATAGTCAGTTGCAATGTGTATTATGTCAGAAAACAAACCCACCAACGTGAGTGGTGTATAAAATTGCGAAAACAATTTAACGACATTTTTATATGTATGACTAAAACAAAATGTTCTGGCTTTTATTATGTGTTTTATATAGTAATTATTTTGACTCCAAACTTAATTTGTTTGCCATTGTTTGTGTTATTAATTTGTATTGACAGGTTCGGATCTTAATTACTCGTGTAGTTTTGCCAAACGACGTATATTGTTGACTTAATTCCACTTCCCCTCGCCCCATTAACCCAATTTAATAATGAATGTAACAATCAGTTATCTAAAAAACAAGTTACGTAATAATCTTAACCAAAGATCGGTCGCTGACCGGTCATCTGTAGGGATTATTGTGTTACAGTTGCGCTTCGGCGCTTCCATTTCACATTGTCCACTATGGACATTGCAAGAATAAAGCGACACTTTTAGAAAACCAACATCGCCAACGCTAAAAGCAATTACTAATATTGAAACAAGTCATGGCAACAACAATCTGGAACTAACTTAAGCGCGATCTATTTGCCAAACAAAACCAAAACAGTGCAAGTGAGCGGCAGAACTTAAATCGAAAGTGAATGAATCACTTGGGTGTTACACCACTGAACACAATTCCGGACACGCAAAATTAGTATATTGTATAAGATGCAATGGGACAGTTCATTGTTCAGTAGAAAGTTACTTCTCGAAAGTGCTAGTTAATGTGTAAGTTTATACCAAAAACTGTAATCGAGTTGGGTCGAATGATACTAGTTGTTACATCTGTATGGTTATCGATTTCATGTAACGACATGAAATGCCTCTGCGAAATCATAGTGTACCTACGTACCGCATGGCTACCAATCACCCTATTTAGTCTTTGTATAGATTGTAAGCTACAGCGATGTCAATTACATTTCAAGAATACTTTTGCATTTTAATAGTAAACATATCATATTTAAAGAACATTATGTGACAAATTGATAATATTTATTTTCAACATTTGGCGTATTTTTTGCATCCTTTGCAAATATCTAATAAGCTGTGCCCTTTACCTGTTTTATGACATTCGAATAATCTAGGTATGTACAAGCACTAACTATGTAAATGAAGCCTTTAAGTCAAGTTTCTGTCTTTTCCAGTTGGCCTTAGTCTGCGTGGTGGAGCTGACCAATGTCATCATGGCGGGTGGCGGTGGCGGCGGCGGGCATAAGAAAGTGATCATCCACGTACCACTGTTCGTGAAGCATCACCATCATAAACACACTATCGTGAAACACATCCACCACAAGGAGCAGGGCGGCGGTGGCGACGACCACTACGAGGTCCTAGGATACACCTATGGCGAGCCCAAGTCAGCACCGCACTTCGGTGGTGGTAAGTGGTTTAAGCGATAACAATTAGAATTAAGTGGCCAATTGACCATACGCGGTTTGTGTCAATTATCTTTTCGTATATTATATGTGTGTTTGTGTGTGTGTGTGTGTGTGTGTGTGTGTGTGTGTGTGTGTGTGTGT